AACTATAGACCAATATCTCTCTTGTCACAAATCTATAAAACTTTCACTAAGGCGATCACAACTAGATTAAACAACAAATTTGATGCATACCAACCAGTTGAGCACGCAGGATTTAGAAAGAAGTACAGCACAACCGACCACCATCACACTCTTAAAATATTGATAGAAAAGACCAACGAATACAACCTTCCAATATACCTAGCGTTTGTTGAATATGAAAAAGCTGTTTGACAGCATACAATTATGGGCAGTGGAAGAAGCGCTAGTTAATTGCTCAATAGATTTACGGTACAGAATGTTAATCCATATTATATATATATATATATATATATTATATATATATATATATATATATATATATATATATATATATCAAAACGCCGCTATGAGAATTCAGCTAGACAGAGATTTGCAAATTCCATTAATTAGAATTTGTAGAGGTGTCAGACAAGGGGATACAATCTCACCCAAAATATTTAATCTGGCGTTGGAAGACATTTTTAAATCTATAGACTGAGACAATAAAGGGATTTGTATAAACGGGAAATATTTAAATCATCTAAGATTCGCCGATGATGTACTCCTGATAGCAACAACTATGGAACAACTACGAATAATGATTTCAGACCTAGAAAAAACATCTCTTGAGAAAGGTGACTGAAAGGTGACCTAAAATGAATCCTAAAGAAAACTAAAATAATGACTAATACAGAAGACAGATCAGTAATTACCATAGGTGAGAACAAACATAGAACACGACCAAGAAAATATTTACTTAAGACAAGCTATCAGAGCAGACAAAAGTAACCAGACTAAAGAAATAACCAGAAGAATAAGAATGGGGTCAATGGGGGCAATTCGGAAAACTGTCATATAAGTACTATCAAAAACCACAAAATACCTTTAAAATTAAGAACGAAGGTATATAATGCATCCATCCTAGCTGTTCTGACATATCTTGCCCAGACGTGAATGTATACCAAGAGCAACTTAGATAGAATCAAGAAAACTCAAAAAGCTATTAAAAGCGTAACGAATAAAGGAATTGGCCGCTGGAGACCATCTACTGCAAAAAGGTCAAGAGGTCGACCGCAAATGAGATGGAAAGATGACATTGAGCAAAGCGCAGGTCCAATGTGGAAAAGACAAACAGAAGACAGAGACAAATGGAGACAAATAGGAGAGGCCTATATTCAACACATGAATAGATTTTGGGCTGTAGATAGAACGGGCACCATGGAACTATTGGTAGTAGAAGGTAAGGTAGAAGGCCGAAGACCAAGAGGAAGATTTCCAATACGATGGGTGGACCAAATGAAGAGTTTGGTGGGAAAATCCCTACATGAAACCGTCCATATGGCACAAGATCGCAGTCAATGGAGACAGCAGACTAATAATATTTAGGGTGTCACTACGCCCTGACAAGGGCTAAAGGATTGAGGAGGAGGAGAGATAGAATAAGGTCTCTTAATTGTTATAAACAAAATTGCTATCGATTTATAAAAAAGGTACAAAATTTGCCCCAAAGGTCAACTTGTTTTTCTTTTAAATTTGTAAAAAATTCAGACTTTCAAAATATAAAAAAAATCAGTTTTTTACAGTCAACGGTTAAAAAGTTATTTCCAATTGTTTATTACAAAAATTTTACATGTTTTTGCCAAATTATTTTGCAATACTTAAAATTATTTTCCCCAATTTTTGAAAATAATAATATTAGAATAAATCTTCTTCTTTTAGTATCTATCCGTAAATTTATTAAATCTATTTAATTTTCTGACTTACATTGTTGCAAAAAAAATTTAATTTATAATAAACAAATTAAATCACTTTTAAACTCATTGACCGATCGACTTAAAAATTTTTATCTTTTTTAAGCACAACAAGGCACAACATTGTATGTAATATAAACATTTATAAAAAAAACGAAATGTTTGATTTATTTTGCAACTTTCTAAGTAACAAATTTAACGTAGAACGTTTAGAAAACGCCATTTTGAAGGATTTTATATGACTTATAAGTTTCTTTTCTTCTCAAATTTGTTTCAATCGCTTTACTTTTTACCGATAGATGAAAAAAGCGAAAATTTAGCGTTTTTTGACTTAATTTGTTATTATTGTTCTGAAGCTATTTTCGTGTGGCATTGTAAATTCATCATCATCATCAACTAGCCTCTAAAACGTCCACTGCTGAACATAGGCCTCTCGCATGCTCTTCCACTTAGTCCGATTTTGCGCCGTCTGAATCCAATTTGTAGTCACTCTTTTTATGTCATCTGTCCATCTCGTTGGGGGTCGACCTCTATTTCTGTATGCTTGTATTCGGGGTCTCCATTCCAAAATTCTTTTTGTCCACCGGTCATCAACTGATCTTGCTACATGACCTGCCCAGTTCCACTTTAGTGTTGTTATCCTTTCAATAACGTCTTCCGCCTTTCAATAACGTAACAATTTTAACTGGGAATAAGCCACAATTTAACATAAAAATACGTTTATTGACGTTTCAATTTCCACTTCGGAAATCGTTCTCAAAATACAAACAGTAAATTAAACAAATTTTGTTTTTTGTTACATAGTGAAAAATTCTTCTAATAATTTAATTTTATCTGACTCATTTATATTGACAATTCAGACATACATAATGCATTTTAAAGTAGACGACTTTAAAATGATATTGCCAATATTGTTGAGTTGCGCTCCTGGGACGACTTTACTTATAAGATAGTTCATTCGATTACATTAAATCAACTTTAACTTGAGAATATCCGTCAGAAAAAATCATAGCATGTAATTCGTCTTTAAAAAGACAAACACATGACATGATGACAGTAAAATTCTCCTGTTAGTGATTCCATAGTAAATTATGAGGGAAAAACCAGGAAAAAAAACCTCATAATACTATCCCGACATTGTAAGTATTTGTTCGTGAATTTAGTTTACCTTCAACAAACATCAAAATTCTGATTTTATATGTTACGTTATTTAAAAAACATAAATGATGTATCCTCTATATGTTACTGACTTACTAATACTGGTATTTTCTTATTAATAACTTCCTCTTTCAATATTGGTAACCAGATCCTACTACATTCTGCCGAGGAATTTGCGACACAATTGGCCTCATTTAGCATAATTAGAGCCGCTTCTTTGATTTTTCTTTTTTTACCATCCGTTTCTTTTAGGACTACATTTGAATTATTCCATTGAACCCTATGTTCATTATCCCATGCGTGTTTACATATTTGAGATCATTCAAATTCTCTATTTTTAATATAAGATTGATGTTCACTTATTCTAACATTTAATGGCCTTGATGTTTCACCTAAATAAAATATTTAATAATTTTATTTAATAAAAATTTCAGATCATCTCGATCCTGTGCAATTACTACTAAATCGTTGTATTCTCGTTGAACATCTGTATCCCCACGACAGGAAAAGATATTCTCCATCGTTTGAAGACTTTGTTTAAATATATCTTAAAGAGTGTTAAATATATCTTCTTCAAGTTCCATCTGCTATTAACGGTTGAAAACCGTAGAGTCTTTGTTAACAGCCGCTCTAAATAGTTCTACATTACTGCATTCAAACCATTCAAGTTTTTAAGCCATAATTTCACTTATTCTAACATTTAATGGCCTTGATGATTCACCTAAATAAAACTGATCGCATTCACAAGGTATTTTATAAATGTAATTCTTTGTCCTTTCTTGTTCACGTGTTTGTTGTTGAAATGTTGAATTTATTTCCTATCCTTTTAAGTTTTTCTGATAATGCTTTTATGTACGGTATTGTTATTTTCCTCATATTATTCCTTGTGTATGCTGTAGGATCTCGTTCTAAGTTGTTCTGTTCTATTCGATCGATTGTTGAAAATTCTTTATTTATCAACGATAAAGGATAATCATTTTTTATGATGAAATGATGAATGCAATCAGTTTTATTTAGGTGAATCATCAAGGCCATTAAATGTTAGAATAAGTGAACATCAATGTTATATTAAAAATAGAGAATTTGATAGATCTCAAATATGTAAACACGCATGGGATAATGAACTATATTGTTCAATGGAATAATTCAAATGTAGTCCTAAAAGAAACGGATGGTAAAAAAAGAAAAATCAAAGAAGCGGCTCTAATTATGCTTCATGAGGCCAATTGTGTCGCAAATTCCTCGGTAGAATGTAGTGGGATCTGGTTACCAATATTGAAAGAGAAAGTTATTAATAAGAAAATACCAGTATTAGTATGTCAGTAACATATAGAGGATACTTACATCATTTATGTTTTTTTAAATAACGTAACATATAAAATCAGAATTTTGATGTTTGTTGAAAGTAAACTAAATTCACGAACAAATACTTACAATGTCGGGATAGTATTGTGAGATTTTTTTCCTGGGTTTTACCTCATAATTTACTATGGAATCACTAACAGGAGAATTTTACTGTCATCATGTCATGTGTTTGACTTTTTAAAGACGAATTACATGTTATGATTTTTTTCTCGCGGATATTCTCAAGTTAAAGTTGATTTCATGTAATCGAATGAACTATCTTATAAGTAAAGTCGTCTCAGGAGCGCAACTCAACAATATTGGCAATATCATATTAAAGTGGTCTACTTTAAAATGCATAATGTATGTCTGAATTGTCAATATAAATGAGTCAGATAAAATTAAATTGTTAGAAAAAACAATATTTGATTAATTTACTGTTTGTATTTTGAGAACGATTTCCGAAGTGGAAATTGAAACGCCAATAAAGGTATTTTTATCTTTAATTGTGGCTTATTCCCAGTTAATTAGTAATTAATTAATTTGTTATAATTAATTAAGTCCAAAAAATCTACTGCACGAAACATTTAGGTTTTTGTTATAGAGGTCCATACTATTCAAAACAATGGTCTGTTGCCTGGCCGGCCTAGTATAACGAAAAAAGCTTATTTCTTTGGGCTATTAATCCCATAGAAACATAATATTTAACATAAAATGAAAATCACTAACCTTCGGTATTTGCTTTTTATACTTCTTATTCCAGTCATCTTTACTTACAATGTCTTTGAGGTAAAAGGTCCTCGGCTGCGGCTTATCACATGGAAATTTGTCAATATAGTTGCTGTGGTCATCCAGCTCCTCATTTAGCTCCTTAAATTCTTTGCCGTCGCAAAAGAAAAGAACAACGAAAGCTACGACTATCATTTTACAACCAAGCGACATGGTTTGTTCTTCAAGTTTAAGTTGTTGTTTAGGTGTGCTCTGTCGCTATACTATAGTGGAAATGGAGTGGGTTATTAAATACTATTATTGATAAGGAATGATCAAGAAATTACCATAAGCTCATTTTTAATCTTCATTAATATTGAAGACCACAAACTATCTTATTTATAGGAGTAAAATACCGCAATAGAATATAAATTGTATATCTTAATTATAATGACTAATATTAATTAGAAGATTATCTTAAAAATTATGCTTATGAAAATACAGGAAGTTAATATACATATATACATACCTATATACGCTTGTTCAATTGAAACTCATATCTTTGGTCAAGTTAGTCTTGGAAACAATTTTTAATAAGTTTTTTTTATCATGAATTTGTATTGGACCGGAATTTTCAGTATTGTGGCTTAAAAATGACGTTTATTCTTAACAATATGTCCAAATATAATCAGACCTGCGGTCATTCAATTCCTATATACTAAAATTCATATGCAAATACAAGCAAGGTAAGGGAACTCATGTGTTGCTTTTCCAACTGTCAAGGAATGGTGTCGAAAGTTAAAGAGTGGAAGAGAGGAATCAAATGATAATCCGTGAGTAGATGCATTGAGTTCTGGTCCTTTTGTTAGATGACCAAAAAAGCTAGCGAATAAAATTATCATAGCCACATCTCACGGAATACAATCAAAATGGTAATGCACTTTTTTTATCAATAATTGCTGCCGATGAATCCTGGTGTCAATATTAATGACATGGAACGCTTTTTATTGCAGTTTCGATCAATCAAACCTCTTCTCAATATTTGCTACATTTTCTTTTATTGTCTTTTTCTTAGCTTTCTATCGTCCATGTTTGGACATAGCCTCCACTTCTTCCATCGGTCTCTATCCTGAGTAACATATTTCCAATTTGTTCCAGCTATTATCTTAATGTCATCAACCAATCTCATCTGTGGTCTTCCTCTTGGTCGATTACTTTCGTAAGGTCTCCAATGTTGTATTGTAGTATTCCAACGTTGATCTTTTTGTCTAGCAGTGTGGCCCGCGAAGCTCCATTTAAGTTTGACAATTTTTGTTGTTATGTCCTCGACTTTTGTTTTTGATCTTACCCAGTCGTTCCTCTTTTTATCTGACAGTCGTAAACCTAACATTGCTATTTTCATTGTTTTTTCTGTTGTGGCTAGTTTATTCATGTTTGCCTTGGTTAGGGTCCAGGTTTGGCATCCATATATCATGATAGGAAGGATGCATTGGTTGAACACTTTGCTCCTCAAGTATTGTGGTATTTTGCGGTTTTTAAGTATCTAACTAAGTTGTCCAAATCTTGCCGCATGCTAGTCTTGCTCTTCTAGTAATTTCCGCACTTTGGTTCTCTTTGTCAAGTTTCAGGATTTGGCCTAAGTAGATATATTCCTGGACTTGTTCTATTTCACTGCCATTTATAGTTATATGTCTGGGGCCATCTGTGTTTGTCAATATTTTGTTTTTTTTTTTTTCATATTCATTTTTAGACCGACGTATTGGGAGCTGCCTGCTAGTTCCCCATCATAATTTGCAGTTCCTCGAATGTGCTCGCTATAATCACTATGTCGTCAGCGAATCTGAGGTGGTTTAACTTGTTGCCATTAACGTTAATGCCGTAGGTTGACCAATTTTTAGTTTTAAAGACGTCTTCTAGGGCTAGGTTGAAAATCTTTGGCGATATAGTTGCATTTTCATATATATTATGTATTAGTTGCCTATATCTCGAATCTATTCTACAAATATTAATAGCTTGTTCTATGGCTCACATCTCAATACTATCAAACGCTTTTCATAGTCGACGAAGGCAAGGAATGAGGGGGGTTGGTATTCATTTGCCTTCTCTATCAATGTTCTCACTGTCAGCAGATGTTCTGATGTACTATATCCTTTGCGGAAGCCAGCCTGTTCAACCGGTTGGGAATTGTCCATTTTGTAGGTTAACCGGTTGTTAATAATTCTCATAAATAGTTTGTATACTTGACTAAGCAACGATATAGGTCTATAATTCTGTAGATCACATTTGTCCTCTTTATTGTAGTTAGAATAAAAGCAGGTACTTCCTGACCCGGAAACTAGTACCTGCTAAGGGTCCCTTGACCAGGGTAACGGTTGAAGACCACAAAGGCTTGGGGATCCAATGGCGAAGGTGGCAACTCAACCTTTAGTGGATAAAATAAAAGGAATAAAGGGAAGACAGGTCTTCTTGAGCCGTAGAGAAGCTCCTCCGAAAGCTCTACTCCAATAAATTAAAAATGAATTTTTAGTACTTACCGAGACTAAAGAGAAAGGGCAAGGCTCAGAAAAAACTAGGAGAATACGAAGAACTTTTTCTCAGGAATACAGAGATAAAAGAGCCCAGCAAGGAGTGGCCATACTTATAAGAAAACTACTTGGAAGGTGCATAACATCCTGGTAAGCAGCTAATCAGCGCATCATCCAACTTAACCTAACCCTGCATGGTAGTAAAGTCACCATTCTTGACATATATGCCACAGTATAAATAACAACCAGTATTCTCACTCTGCGGCGGTACCTTTGATCTTTTTCGTCCAAATTCGGTGACCTTGACGCCATATTGTTTGGATGAAAACCTAGGGCTGGCACTGCACATATGGACGCGACAGAGCCGACTTTGATTTATTTTGAAAATTTATTTAACGAAATTGATTTTAATTTCAACCAATTTCAAAACTTTTTTCTTGTTACTCTTTCATTCTTCGAGAAATTAAAAAAAAAACCTAAAATTGTTTCTTTCACTACGTTGTGTTTATGATTTTGTTTTCTAACGTTTCACAACTATTTGTTACAGAACTGCCTTATACACTATAAAAAAATCAAATGGAGAGTTATGCAACAGTTTTTAATAAACATGCTAGTTTTAAAGCTGCATGTTTATAAAGTAGAATAAAATGCAAAGTTTCATTTCAAAATTCAAATACAGAGTTTGGAATTAGTTAATATATTCTAATTATATCTCACTAAAAACACAAGAGGATGTGAACAAAACTCCTAAATAGGTATATTGATTAGTGATTGATCTTACCTGGTCATTGTAATAGACTATTTTGACTTGTTATTTCGATATAAACGATTAAATAATGTGTTATTGATGTTTCCAAATAATTATTTTATGTTTTTTTCTTTTAGTTTTATTTTCATATTTTTGAGTATTGAAATTTCTGTTATTGAATTTTAATAAATAGTACAAACGTACACGGCTAAATAAAGTTGTACAATATTTGAGTGGACTTTGTTCAAAAGGTGACTAAAAGTTGTAATAAATCGAGAAACATGTTGTAATAATAATTGGCTGTATAGCTAATATGTCAAAATTATTTTGAAAGCGAATTGCCAAGTATACCTACTTATAAAGTCAACAGAATCACCAGTAGGGATTTTTAGATTACCAAATGTGTCACCGTTCTATTTTTTTATACATTAACATATAAATATACAGTTGTATCCGATAAATTAGTTACACTTTTTGTGTAGCTGTCTGGTATATTATTTTTAAATAATATATTAGGGCTGGGTAAACAAAATTGTTACAAAAATTTGTTACACAAAAATATTTTTGTAAAACTTTTGGCCCCTTGAAGTACATTAAGAGACATCCTGTTTAAACTGATTATTGAATCTTCTACCTCTTGCCTTTTTTCTAGACTGTAAAATTTGAACATTTATGAAATTAGTTAAATTTAATGAAGTACAAAATTTAGATGTAAGTGCCATATAGTCTTCAATTGTCACATTATCCACATATTTCTTTTCTTTAGAGTGTAATATCTGAATTTTTTATTTAAATAATGGTTTTCCTTCTATAATTTCATAACTGTACTTCATAACACAAATTTTCTTTGAGTTTTTTCTAACAATTCTTGTTGATGTACATTAGACATCTAACGGAATCATACAAAGTGCTCAAAGTAGCGCCATCCGGTTAATGTTAAGAATGGATTTGTGGAAATAAAAAATAAATTTTTAAATAAACTTCATTTATTATTACGTGTTACATTAGATATTACATTTATTTATTAATAACAAAGGTGACAGATCCACTGTCAAAATTATACAAAATACATTGTAGATAAATACAATTACAGATAAAAATTAAATATACATGTATAAAGTAAGTACACATTAAGTTTACAAAGTATCATTTTGTAGTTTAAAATTTCAAAAGTTAAACAAATTATATCTCATGAGCACTGATTTGCATGTATGGGAAGTCAGATCATACCTATATTTGAACTATAATTAGGTCTGCGATGAGATACATGGAAATGTAAATTCTGACGCAGTGAATGGGAAGGAATATGAAAAGAAATTAGCTAAAGCAATTCAGGAGTATGGATTATTCTATAAACAATTGCTTTTGTTCAAATGTGATTTTGAATGATATTTTACAATGCTGTTTACTTGATCTAGATTAATGTCAATATAATTAATTATTAATTAATTAGAAGTAATGCTCTAATACATTTTTATGGAATATGATAAAATATTTTAGTTACATCTCTCTAAAAACATAAGAGAATGTGAAGAAACCCCCTAGATAGGTACATTAAGTATTAATCGATATTATCTGATCACTGTAATAAAAAAAGAGTATTTTGACTTTTTACATTATTATAAACAAGTAAATAATGTTTTATTGATGTTTCCAAATAATCAATTTATTATTTTTTCTTTTGGTTATATTTTCATGTTTTTTAGTCTTGAAATTTCTCTTTATGAATTTTAATGAATAGTACAAACGTACACAGCTAAACAAAGTTATACAATATTTTAGTGGAAATTGTTCACAAGGGTGGCTAAAATTTAAGGTACTAAATAGAGAAACATATATTTGGCTAATATGCCAAAATTCTTGTGAAAGAGACAGTCAAGTATACTAATATAGTTAACAAAATCACCAATCGCCATTTTTAGATTACCAAATGTTTCACCAGTTCTATTTTCATATCCCTT